ACTTCGGCCATCTTGGTGGGTTCCTGGCACGTCTGAAGCCGTCGGAAGCCGTTTGGGGGGCCTCTATGGGCCGACTTGGGGCCCGCTTGGAATGCTCCAGGGCCGTCTTGGAGGCCATCTTGGGCGTCTGGGAGGCCATCTTGGGCGTGTTGGAGGCCTCTTGGGCCCTCTTGGGGCCCTCTAGGGGCCATCTTGGAGGCCACTTGGGCCATCATGGGGCTCTCTTGGGGGCCTCTTGGGCGATCTTGGGGGCTTCTTGGGCCGTCTTGAGCCGTCGGAGAGCCGAAAAGGCGCAAATGCCAACATCCTTCAAAAACCAAGGGAAAATCAATGATTTTGGCCTCTTCGGACTCTCCTGGAGGACCTCTTGGAGGCCTCTTGGGCCGTCTGGGAGGCCTCTGGGGGGCCTCTTGGGCCGTCTTGGGCCGTCTTGGACTCTCTTGGGCCGTTTTGGAGGCCGTCTTGGACCGTCTTGGAGGCATCATAAGGCCATCTTAGCCGTCTTAGAGACCATCCTGGCCGTCTTAGAGGCATCTTGGAGGCCATCTTGGAACCGTCTGGGGCAGGAAATTGGGGAATTGAGCTCCTGGGCATCCTTTCCGGGTGGCCGGCGGGACGGGCCGAAGCCCACTGGGGAGTTCTTTTAGAAAAAGAACCAAAACCAAAACCGATAAAATCTAACACGCCAGGCACCCCTGCAAGCAGGGGGCGGCGGATCTAGAGGCCTTCGGCCCATCCCGCCACCGTGCCTGGGTTGTGGGTTAGAGGCCTCTTGGATGTTGGTTGGGATATCGTGGGAGGCCTCTCGGGGGTCTCTTGGAGGCAGTTTTGAGGCCTCCTGAAGGCCGTTCGGGAGCCTCTTGAGGCTTCTTTTTGAGCCTCTTGGGGGCCTCGTGGGGCTTCCTGGGGGCCTCTAGGATGCCTCTTGGGGCCTCTTGGGGCCTCTTGGGGCCTCCTGGGGCCTCCTGGGGACTTCTTGGGGCGGAAGGCTCGAATTGTGGGCTCATGTACCCCCTCTTGGGCCCTGGTCTTGGGGCAGTATTGGGGCTCTCTTGGTGTGTTTTGGGTGCCTCTTGGGCAATTTGGCCTCTGGGACCATCTTGGAGCGTCGAAAATCTGAAAACGCGAGAACGCGAAACACATTCAGCAACACAAGGAGCATACACTATGTTTGCATCGTGGGGTCCTCTTGGAGGTCTTTTTGGAGCGCTCTTGGGGCTTCTGTGGGGCCATCTTGGGCGTCTTGGAGCGCTCTTGGGCCGTCTTGGAGGCCCCATCGGACCCTCTTGGGCGCTTCTTGGGGCCCTCGTGGCCCGTTTAGGGGCCCTCGGGTGAATAAGGCATGAGCCGCGAGGTCGCATGCTCTGAGTCAAATCAGCAGGGCGGCGCTCGGCTAATGAGAGGAGGAGCAGTGCATGCGCACATGCTCTGAGGCCAATTCGCAGAGCGGCGCTTTGCTAATCAGAGCCCGAGCAGGATGGGGAGCCCTGCTTCGAAACCCGTCAGCAGAGCAGCGCTCCGCGAATGCGGGGAGGATCAGCGAGTGCGTATGCGTTGCGGCACACTGGCAGAGCGCCGCTCTGCTCATTGGCGCCCAGATAGCCTGAGAATTTTGGGCCCCAGCCTCTACCTTGGCATCGCTCGGAAGTGTGCATTTTTCCTTCGGGGAGTACCATCGAGGAGCATCCTTGATCATTTGGCGAAACAACCACGCACGAAAGCGAACAAAAACACAGGGACTGGACATCCGAGCGATGGCCAGCCTGAGAATGTTGGGCCCCAGCCCCTGCAGGGTTCTCTTTCAAAAGGGGCTCGGTCGTTCCCGTGGTTTGACTGCGTTCAGCTCTACCTTCTCGGCGGCGAGTCCCCCTGGTGTCAGGAGGGGAAGAAACACACAGACACAATTAATCGTCGACTCTCAGGAAAATATGGGAAAATATGGGAAGTGGGGGGGAAGACCAAAAACCCAGAACATATGGGAAAATATGGGGGATCCTTTTATTTGTGTGTATTTATGTGTGTGTGTGTGTGTGTCCTGGGGCCCCTTCCTGGTGTTCCTTCGGACTTCCCAGGATCACTTGGGAAACAAGGGGCCTCGTTCCTTCGGACTTTTCAGGATTGCCTGGGAAACAATGGGACTTCCCAGGACTACTTGGGACACAGGATTATTTTGACCGCTTCGCTCATTCCGCCGGCCCCTGGAGCCCTCTTTAGGGCCTCTTGGGGGCTTCTTGGGGACCTCTTGGGGGTCTCTTGGGGCTCCTTGGCGGCGTCTTGGGGGCCCCCCAGGGCCTCTTGGGGGCCTCTTGTGGTTCCCTAGGTCAGGCCGACTACTGCAGAACTCAGGACCCAGGACCGAGAGCACTCGGGGACCTGGGGAGCGCTCTTCTCGCGCTTCGCGGCACGGTGGCGGATGGCAGCTGAGCTCCTCCTTCAGAGCCCGCCTTTGCAAGGATGCATTGCCCCCTCTCGTGCCGCCCCCCTCTCTCCTCGTCCTCCGCTTCGTCCTCGTCGGCTCTGCCGCCGCTCAAGTTTCGGCCCCGCCCCCCCCCCCTTCCCTGTGAGGGGGTCCCGCACTCTCTTCTTGTGCTTGATCGGCCCTTGAGGGCCCGTGACTCGGATAGTGCTGGAGGGTGCCCCCGTCCGACTCGGAGACCAGGGTCAGGGGCTTACAGTGCTCGCTGGTTCTCGTGTGCAGGAGTCGGGCGGTGGCAGGGCCCGGCGTCGGAGCTCTCCAGCAGCTTGCTTGAGCTGGGCCGGAGGGTCTGGACCGCTTTGGGGAAGTCCCGCCAGGAATTCCCGGGCGCATCCGCTCGCGCATTGGCCCGCACGAGGGCCCGTGAAGGTCAGGTAGTACCTGTGGTCCGTCCTCTGGGAGGGCTGGTTTAGGCATGATGTGGACGAGTGCCCTGCATTGTACTCGGGGTGTGGACCCCGCTCTTTTGAAGTGCCCTGAAGCGTGCCATAACATCCTTCTCGGGGTTCCGGCGCCACGACTCGACATGACTGCTGCGTAGTTTGCGAATCGACGTAGCGGTTGGGCCCTGGCAGTCTTGAGTCGGTCCAGCATGCCGTCTCTGGTACGGCAGCCATGAGATGTCGTGCATGCCGCTCGCATTTGTTAAGACGAACATGCGCAGTGTCAAGGCAAGAGCCACATTTCGAAAAGCACCCGCCTTCCATTCGTGACACTCTTGCAATGTTTGAAGACGAGTGTGCGGGGTGCCAAATCGATATTCATATTTCGAAAACGACTGCGTTAATCAGTGAAGCGCTGGTGAACTTTTCAAACGAATGTGCGCGACGCTAAGGCGAGGCGCATTTTTTGGAAGCGCTCCGCCCTCCATATGTGAGCATGCTGCCAATGTCTAAGCTTCAGGATTATATATATATGTATGGTAAAGGCGTCTCAGGCGAAACGCTCGGCCCCCCCTTCCGACTGGCTTCGGGGTGCGTCAGGAAGGAGGAAGGAATGCAGGAGGAGGACGTGGACGTGGACAGACGGGGACGGGGACGTGGGCGAGGACGGGGACGGGGACGGGAGGGATGAGGGAGGAAGGGGGAGGAGGAGGAGGAGGAGGAGGAGGAGGAGGAGGAGGAGGAGGAGGAGGAGGAGGAGGAGGGGAGAGGAGGAGGAGGAGGAGGAGAGGAGGAGGAGGGAGGAGAAGGGAGGAGGGAGGAGGGAGGAGGGAAGGAGGCGGGAGTGAGTAGGGAGGAGGAAGGAGGGATCAGGGCGGAGGGAGGAGGGAGCGGGCGGAGGGAGGCGGGAGGAGGGAGGAGGGAGAAGGGTGGATGGGGGAGGAGGAGGAGGAGGAGGAGGAGGAGGAGGAGGAGGAGGAGGCGAAGGAGGAGGAACGACGGGCAATAGTAATAGCCGCACTAATGGGAATAAGCTCACGAAGCATACTAGCAGTACTATTAATACATGTTTTGGAATGCTACAAGTCAACCATTACACAATCATATTCCTCCTAAGAGTAATACGAACCATACGATTATCACCAATAGCAAGACAGTTGCAACGACGCATACAGCACATTATACTACTGCAAAGAACACGGATACAACTCATACTAACACTACGAATGCCACATATTTTTCTTTACTACTACCACTACTGCTACTAGTCCTACTACTACTACTACTGATACTGCTTCTACTTCGACTGCTACTACGGCTACTACGGCTATTGCGACTACTACTACTACTACTACTACTACTACTACTAATAATAATAATACTACTACTACTAATACTACTGCTACTACTACTACTACTACTACTACTACGACTAATGTTGCTACTACTACTACTACTACTACTACTACGACTACTACTACTACTACTGCTACTACTACTACTACTACTACTACTACTACTACTACTACTGCTACTACTACTACTGCTACTACTGCTATTCCTACTACTGCTGCTGCGGCTGCTACTACTACTACTACTACTACTACTACTCGACTACTACTGCTGCTACTACTACTACTACTACTACTACGACTACGACTACTACTACACAGACTAGCACTATCACTCATAACGCGAATCATACCACTACGGTTAAGAGTGTTACATCTATCAGTACTGATATTCATATTGCTTATAGTAATGTGACTCCGAAGACGAATAGTACTACTACGCATATGCTCGTGATGCTGATGATGCTGATGCTGCTGCTGCTGATGATGATGCTGATGATGATGATGCTGATGATGATGCTGATGATGATGATGATGATGAGGATGATGCTTAGGAGGATGAGGAAGAGACGGGGGAGGCGGAGGAGAGGGAGGTGGAGATGGAGGCGGTGGAAGAGCAGGAGGATGGATAGGTGGAGCGAAGGATGATGATGAGTACTAGGGCAATTAGGCGGATGATGTTATTTATGACGAAGTGGTGGAGGAGGATGACAAGGATGCTGCTGCTTATGACGAGCAGGATGAGTCACTGAGGAGGAGGAGGTGGAAGAGGATGGTACGGCCAGCGAGGAGGATGACAAGGGGGACGGATCGGGCAACCGATTCTTTTGGCTCTTCGCGTAGCCTTCTGCCTTTGTTCATTACGCTTCCTTCGCAAGCTGCGAGGGGCAAGTTGTTTCGATGCGTAAACTTGCTCTCGAGCAGCCGTTTAGTCCCACCTTGCGGGATGCCGCGTTTCACGAGTCGAGCGGCATTGGCGTGCGCAGGGAGCCAACCTCCCTAGGAGGTTGCAGCGGGCGCATGGAAATGGAGCCAGTCGGAGGCCAGGAACTGCGGAGCGGGAGGGGGAGGAGGATGAGGAGGAGGAGGAGGAGGAGAAGGAGGAGGAAGAGGAGGAGGAGGAGAGACGTACGCGAGCCGAGGGAACGTGGGCGCGCAGCCGGAACGCATGATTTTTCCCATAAGGGGGGTTGTCACGCGCGGCGAGCATGTCCTTATCCGCACCCTCGCGGTCTGGATTCTGGCGCGCGATCCCGCGGATGCGCTGTCGCTGGGATGCGCTCCGCGCGGGGCATCCGCGAGAAAACGCCCCGCATCCGCTGGGTCGCGGCCCAGGGGTTCGGCCCGCGAGGCCGCGGATGCGTATGTGTTTTCCGCCCAGGATGGGAGTTGGAAGCTGACCAAGCAGACATCTTTTAGCGCCGATTCACGCCCATGATGCTACCTCCCCCTCTTGTGCTGCAGGTTACGCGGTTCACGTGATTTCGCGGTGGAAGAAGGGGACAAATCCGTGGAAACAGGAGTACTCAGTGGAGCGACGTTTTTTGGCGGGGGGGGGGACCTTGGTCGCCATGTGTTGGCGGCACACGTTAGTAGTCCCACGGAGTGCCACAGTGCCGACTTCATACACACATGGTCCCATGCACATAGGTGCTCATGCATGTAGTGTCTCACGCAACAAGTGAGCGTGGCGTGTTGGCTCACCGTAAACGTCGGTCCCGCAAGCCATGTGTGTTCCGCAGTGCCACAGTACTGCCTGAGTGACAGTCTTAGAATTGTGATGTGGGGGTGATCCCAGTTTCAGCGTAGTAGCACGCATGGTGTCAGCTGCGACTGGGCCTCCTGGCCGCGTTGGGCGACCCACTTCCCTCGATAGGCTTTCCCTTGTCAAAAAAGAAATCACCCGAAACACAAATCGTGCTGAATGCAGGGATGCTTCGGAACGAACTGTTTTACTGCAGTGAAGCTTGGCGCGCGCAGTGTTTGACAGCTCGTGGCATTTCCTCACGTAAACCAGACATGCGTACAAACAGACAGGTTCTCACACATGCAGTCTTTCAGTCGGTTTTTGCTTTCGGCGACCTCCTCCTTCTCCCCCTCTGAAGCCCGTATCCCTCGGCCTCTGGGGCTTGTGACCCCATCGCCCCCCTTGTCTCGCTCTCCTTGCCATCATCTCCATTCTGCTTCGTGGTTTTGGCTCGGATCTTTAAGGCTTGATCGTCCAGGCAAGCAAAGCCGTCGCGCATGACTCGCCGAGTTGTGGTCGCGCCCTCCCCCCCGCGGGGCATCGTGGTGGGAACCTTCGCGAGGTTGAGTGCAAAGAAGGGGCCTCCGACCCCCCTGCGCGCCCCAAGGGACACCCAGAATTCGCCCGCTGGCCCTGCGGGGCTCCAGCGACGGCTTATGCACCAACCCGAAGCTCCGACGCTCCAAAACTTTCGGGCAGGCGATTCTTGGCGGTTTGCGGCCTCGGGGGGCGCTTGCCGCGCCCCGGGAGCATCAAGAAACGACGCAACAGGAAAAGCTGGCCCCACAGGCCACGACATGCTCGAGCTACTCTGAAGCATCGGCCTCGCACTCCTCCGCCCCCCAGCTGCGCATCCCGCGCAGCCCCTCCGCCATGCCTATCCACGGCCGTGCGCTACGTGTGCGCCGCAGGTGAGAGGCGGCGCATATCGCACGAGATGGGGGAGACCCGCTATAAGCATCAGCGGGACGACGACGTGCACCCACAGCAGACAACGCCGCGCGGCATGGGCCAGGAACAGCGTACCCTCATCCCCGTCTTTTATGGCGGAGAGACAGCCAAGTTCATTGGATTGAACCCGTTCTCTCTAACAATTTTTCCAGGCCGAAAGGAGGCCAGCAATTATGAGTTTCGACAGCAGTATGGATTGTTACTCCCTGGTACACATGTGCGGCAAAAAAGCAAATCTCAGTCATCACCGGGAGTATACCATAATTGCTGTTTGCACGGGGGATGGAAACGCAACCCACACATCACTTCAGCATGCGGATGCGCCGTGGCCATCAACAAGCACAGATTTCGACCTGGACATCTGGTACGCGTTGCATCCCCGCCCCCCCAGTACAAGGCCGAGGAGGCTCAGTAGACACTGTTCGTGGACACTTCCGAGTACGACTTATCGTCGGATACTTCCCGCCCGTCCCCCACAGCAACAACGCCAAGTTCACCGAGGAGACATGCAATCGACTATGGAAATGGATCTTATCTGGGTTTCAATCATGCCCAGCACGAACCACCCCTTTATTCTTTGGTGACCTGAATCAAGGACTAGGGCGGCGACGCCGAGCATCACGTGTTGACGACAGCGTCGGCTCATACCAACCTGCCGCAGAAACGACTGTGGGAGCAGCAGTACATGAAGCACTATTGTCACATTCGCTCACGGCATGTAATAATTTCTGGAACTCTGACTTTACGTTCTACGGCAAAGGCGGCGCTCAGAGTAAAACGGGCTATTGGATCGGACCGTCAGAAGCAGCGCCCGCCGTCAGCAATCTTAAACTGTGCTGGAGATCGCATCAACGTCTACGAGTACTACCACATGTGAAGGACCAGATCCCGCATACGAATGGCATGCCGGTCGTCCAGCTCAACCGACCATGCACCCAGATGGGACTGGCCTTATATTGCAGCAGGATTACAGACATGATACAAACGAACTGAATTTCTACATGACCTTCACGAGCTTACCGGATCGAACCGACACAAGCTACGAGTTACCCAGTATGACCAACGACCCGATCGCCATGCCGCTTCCGTATCTTATCTTATTCCACGCGCGGCTATCCCACACTGTTCCAGACGCCGAGGCCGGCCTGTATGGATGCGAGAAGCACAGAAGTAATGCTCGATTTACAGAAAGAGCGCGCGCGACTACGAGAATGCGGCGCGGCAGTTGACCGCGCGTTACTCAAAGACATTCACGGAAGCTACGCGAACATACCCAGTGGAAACAGGCCTGGTGGAATCAATCTCTGGACGAGCAGCTCGCCTAGGCCTTCCACAGACGCGACCTTTCTCGAGTTGCAGAGCTCAGCCGACTTCGCGCAGGTACCCGCGCTGGCCCGAAGAAACGAACCTACCTCGCCTTCCCCAGTGCACGGCCGACGGCTGCCCACTACATAGACGCCCTGGGCAGACGCGGCGTTGACGGCGGCCTTGCAGCGGCCCCTGCGCGCATTAGTATCTACATCGGGAACGAATAGGCCATCGAGCATTTCTACAATCGCGACGAGAATGATACGCAGCCTGTCGGGGAGCACCGCGTGAACCCAACGAAAGACTCTCTCCTCGACGCAGCCGGGGACTTGGAGGCTATGAGCAAGCGCGCATGGCATGCCAAACGCAGAAAATATTCGCCCATCTTGTCATGGCCAACTGAACTCATGAGTACGCTTATCTTCTCCAAGTACCTCAGCCGACCTGGACCCCCCGCAGTGGCGTTGGATGTGCACCGACGGACTATCAGCATGTAGCACATGCCCCCCGACGCGGCCTTGGACTGGAAGCGGCGACTGCGGACCGAAACGCACGGGGCCGATCGGCCACCAAACGCAAGGCTCGACGACCTGACCAACGCCGATTGAATCTTGACGATGATCACTGCCACGCGCCAAACATTATGCTCATACATGTGCTCGCGCGCGCGCGATTCGGCGGCCCTTCCTGCGCCGCCATGCACCAGCCAGACCGCGGCAAAGGACCCCGAGGAAATCCAGTTCATGGTTTGAACCACTGTCTCAGGAGGGTGCACTTTTTCCTGTCCCCTCTGGCGGCTATGCCAACGAAGTGGGATGACCGATTTCGGCAGCGCCTACCAACCCATTCCCTGGGCATTTGGGGGCATCCGTGCCCGCAGACGTGAGTCCTTAATGATGTTGAGCAGGATCGCTACGTGCAAGCTCCGCAAGGCACGCGTATCACACTTAGTGAAGAGTTACGATATGCGGAACGCTTTCGGCACAGGGAGCACACGAGGACTATTTGCAGCCCATCAAGTGCGCGCTGATGACGAACACAACGGGGATATGCTTACACAACATCGGGCGGGGGGCACAATGCTAATCGACGCTCGCAACGCTATACTTGGCCATCGCCCCCAGAGCGGAGGCCGCGCGGGCGGCGGCAACGAGCCCGAGCTTTTCATGGAATCATTCTATCCACTGACCATCGTGAGGGACCAAGAGCTTACACCTATACTTGGAGACGGCACGGCCGCAGCCATGCCCATCACGGACAACGCGCATCGCATTGATATGGGTGCTTGTATGGATGATATTATCCGTGTCCCCATTATTCCTGAGGGCACACTACGACAGGCACTTGCCATCGACTGCATTGACGTCTCCATATTGGATGCCAAGTTGCAGAAAGGCGAATAGGGCCAAAACGTCGACCAGCAGGAGACCCTCGTACGAATGGCCGCCAGTGCAGCTACAGAGATGCCAGCGGTACATGCATGACGAACATTATCCACCTCGGCGCCTACATTCACGTCGACGGCTACAACGCACGCGAGATCGAAGCGCGAACTCGCGCTTGCAATGTTGGCTGGACACGGACGAACAATTTTCGGACATCGTCCACGCCAAGACGTTGCAGCAGATTCGTCTTCCTCGCGAACATCGCGAGCCGTGCGTGGTCAGGCCTGGAGGCCTTGGTCCTCGCGCGCGCAGAGACAGCGCGCATCGACGCGCGCCTGGCAACAAATGATGCGTTGTATGCTGCTCTGAGAAGCTCATGAGGTTGATGACGATGGCAAACGCTCAACATTGACGACTACAGAATTGTTCATCGTCTGGGGCATCGCCCCCACTTCCCTGGGGCTCTGCGTCCGACGGCTCAAATGGTGGCAAACCCTCAGTCCCGACGCTCTTCACCATGACCAGTGCTTGACGGGTTTCTTTGGACGTTGCAAGATTGAAGACCAGGTTGCCGCTCAGAGCCCACCTACTTCTGCTCCTACTCTGCTGCCTAAAGAGGCCCCCACCACCGACCCATCTGCGCGCCCTTGGGCCCGCCAGCTCCGACAGGACCTCCAGAGTGCTCTTGATGCCCTCGTCTCAGACGAACTAAAAGCCATCTGGGACATCAACAGCAGCGTCCAGGAGCTCTTCGCCAATCCCGAGGTTCAGGATGCTTTCCAGAGGATCGGCTCCGGGTATCTTCGCCGGGCACACGCGTCTGAGTCTTGGGCCCCTCCCGAGTGCAACATCAAGGACTGCACAATGGCATTCCGCGCGTTTCCGGCACCAATCGCACACCAGACATCGGCCGTCTAACCAGGACATGGAGCTCCTACTATGCTGTCGACCATCACTATCGATAACCGATGCCTCGTGTGCGACAATGTAAATGGCTCTATCCGCTATTGCCCATACCATCATCGACGATCTTGGATAGAAGGGGGATGTTTCAATCGCACATTGCACGCGCACGCGTGGCCTCCGTCCAACACTGCCAGATTCTCCCTGGTTCGGAACACATTAGTCCTAATCCAGATTGTCAGCGAGAGTATGATGATCCCGAAGCCCTCCGAGGACACGCGCGCGCCTCCCTCCGTCGCCACGCGGCCCCTGGCTCGAGAGACTTCCACGGTCCGCGCAAGTTGCGTCAGGGCTTTCATGCACCACTTTCACGACAGCTACCTCATCCTGTCTGGAAGCCCGCCGGCACCGCACTCCTCAGACGAGAAGTTCGCCTCGCCGCCGACAGACTACTCGGGGGCGCACCTCGCGCCGCTGCTGCAGTGGCCACCGCGCGGACTCGGCGGGCCACTGTGACTCGTGCGCCCGCGCGTGCAGAGCTGGACGCGTCTGCGTCCGCAGCCTACCAGACGACCGCCTCGAGCGCGCAAACCACTACGCCTGCCCTGCCCCGGCCCCTTCTGCCGCCCGATCGTGCGCTATCAGATGGCGGAGCAGCAGGCTCAGGAACTCAAGCCTCGAGCTGCGTGGAGAGGCCTCCCACCGTCATTGCCCAAGTCTGGCAACGATGGCAGCGGATCCAAGGTCGGCGAACGACCGGCGCAGCGACCGCGGAAGGCTCGCAGCCAGGGGGGGGGGGGCCTCAGCGGCCCCCACAGCACTGGCGACTCAGCCACCATCAGCAGAGACAGCAGAGGACGCACCGATGGAGGGCGAAGAGGCCGATGAGGAAGAGGGCCGACGACGGCGCCGCAGAGGCGGCAGACGAGCTCACAGAGGCCAGCACACCGACAAGAGCTGCGCGAACAAGTACAATAACGTCCACTCGCTGCCCACGCCACTCATGACGTTGTCATTGCAGAATACACAGCGGATCAGACTGATGATGTGCGCAGTGGCAGACACGTTCACTATGAAGATCACCCACCCTATTATTAGTTATATCACGGAAGAGCTGGAGCGCTTTCGCGAGAGGGCCAACGGCCTGCGATCGGCTAAGGACAAAGAAGGTCTCAAACGCTTGGGGCCTCCGACCCCCGCGCTAGCCCTAGCGATGCTCGAGGGCCTCCAGGCGCGCGAGATAGGTGGCCGCGCGCGGACGCAAGTGGACGAGTACCCTGAGAAATGCCAGCCGAAGGACCAGGACATCGAGCCGACGATCGACATGAACCAGATGAACGACCACGTGCACTTCATCAGAGCAGAGAAAACAGCAGACCCCAACATCGCCGAGTTAGTGCCGGGACGGCCGCCTCATGCTCCTAGATGGCCTCCAGGCCGGGGGGCAGACGTCCCACCTCCCGGGGCCCGCCCCAGCGGGATGGCTGGAAGAGGAGATCTCGGTTTGGCTGGAGCACTTTCGGAGGATCGCGTCATAGCCTTTGTCCAGGGCGAGACTCCCCCAGCATCTACACCGGCGCCGACGCCAGCTCAGGCGCCATCTCCTTCTGCGTCAGGCACATCACGATGAATGCAGATTCGGCAATATGGGAAACCGACGATGAGGCCGCATAATTCTTGTTTTCCTGAGGAGATGGCCCACCCCAGCCCGTGATGAACGCCAGTTTCGTTTCACGGTGTCTTTCAACGTGCAATGCTTGACCGCCCGCCAAATGCGTGCAGCACCGTTGCAGCGCGCGGCCTTCAATGGCGCGAGGCAGCCTTCCAGTTCGGAGGCGCTGCAGCGGCGAGCAAGACATGTATGATCTTCTCGAGTGAGCTGGCGGTGTCGCCCGAGGCCGCGGCGTCGCGTGGCATGGCCTTCGCGCTCCCACTCGTGGCAGCGTCCATCAATGCAATCGCAATATGTAAAACTATTGTTGCTCCCGTGCCGTCGGAAAAAGCTGGCCCCAGGGAAGTGGTCCAAACCTCCGAGGCCCACGCGTCGAAAAGATCGGAGCAGCCAGGGGTCTGCGAAGGTCCCTGAAGCGCCCAGGGATCTCCAGGGAGTATTGAAGCTGGCCCCTGGTGGTGGTTGCAGCCCAGTCCCCACCATGCGGTTTGGTCATGGCCCCACTGGCCTCCATCTGAAGCGTGCCACGGTCGGTGGGCGGTTTTAATCCCGTCCTGTCTCCGTCCTGGAGGGTGCCGCGGTGTGTGGTCGGGCGGTTGCGTTACGACTGTCGTTGGTTTCGCCAGTCCTTGTGGCTCTCGCCCCTGGCTCGGGGTCATTATGACGGATGCCGCGGATGATTCGCGGTAGCAGTCCTGCTGGGGCATTTTGGTTTGCGGGCGGTTAAAGGTATCATGGCGGATTGGTTGCAATCTCTCGTCCTTTCCCAGCGGTTCTCGTCTTGGCCTCGTCATTTGGGCCGTGCATCCACGGTTGGCTTTTTGATTCCCACGGGTGGTGGGATTGACGCGCGAAGGCGAGGGAAGGCGATGTGAGTTTGCCTCTCTCTCTCTCTCTTTCTATGTGTGTGCACAAACGGTTATGCTGTCGAGCATCAGTGGGGACACATATTACAGTGGAGACCCATGCCAAGAAACACCCTGCTTGCCTCCAGGGGTGCCCTGGGTTTCTTTGGCCTCCGATGGTTATACGATGGGAAGCGTGCCGTCAAGGGATGTCCTGGGGTCTCTAGGGTTTGGGTTTTTCGTGGGCGGTTTCCTGTGGCCTGGCCTCCACTGTACAACATCCCACAGCTCCGCTGGCTTCCGCTGCGGCCGCCGCCTGCGGGCCCACACCGATCCCCTGCCAATTCACCGCGCCCGACAACACGATCACCGGCGGGGGACGCGCAGACCGCAGGCACGCAGCCTTCGGAGCGAAGGCTCGCGCACTGGCTTCGGTGCACCGTCGAAGCCTGCACCCAACACTGCAGAGGAGGCCCATGCCGAGAAACACCCTGCTTGCCTCCAGGGTGCCCTGGGCCTCTCGGCTTCCGATGGTTTTGCGATGGCATCTCCGTGGACGTCCTGGGGTCTCACGGTTGGGTGTCTTGTGGAAGGTTTCTTGTGGCCGAACCCCCATTGTATCTGCGTCGTGCCAAGTGCGCCGTACATCGTCCGCAGTGGGTGGTGCCGCCAGCCTCCGCCGCCTACCCCCATCGACGCTCCTCCTCTGTCCCTTCTTTTAGTTTCTCCTCCTCTCCTTCCTCCTCGTCGTCGTCCTCCTCCTCGTCCTCCTCCTCGTCCTCCTCCTCCTCGTCCTCCTCCTCGTCCTCCCCCTCTTCCTCCTCCTCCTCCTCCTCCTCCTCCTCCTCCTCCTCCTCCTCCTCCTCCTCCTCCTCGTAGCCCTTCCCCCTCGCAGCTCCCTGGCGTCGCGCCCCCCCCCCGGCAGCCAGGAGGCGGGCGGGGGCGGGCGGGGCCAGGCAGGCCAGCGGCGGCGGCTGGCCCCCCCTCGGGCGCGATGAGCGGCTCCAACTCGGCCCTGCGGCCGGGCGAGCGGCCCAATGATCGCGAGGACGCCCCCGCACGGTGTCGGTGGGAGGGGGCCTGGGGGCAAGTATCGGGTGTCGGTAAAGGTCTCTTTGCCCCAAGGTTCTAGGCGTCGGCCACACGGGTTCCGAGCACATGGGGTCGAAGGATCGCTCCGCATCGCCGATGCATCGCCGATGCGGCTTGACGTGGGGCTCGATCTTCTCCGCCGACGTCGCCGATGTATCGCAGATGCGTCGCGATGCTGCCCCCATTTGGCAGGCTTCAAAAGGTGTCCCCAGGCCTCCCGGGGAAACCCAGGTCGCAAATGCGACCCAGTCCGACGCACATTCCGATCCGAGATCCGGTTTCCAGATCCGATGTTGAAGTTCCTGCCCTTGACGACGTCGCTGACAGAGGGTCAGGGGCAAGAGGGGCAAGGGAGGGGCGCAGGAGGGGAGGACGGGAACAGGGGGGATGAGGGGGGAGGGTGGCGAGGGTGACGAGGTGGGAGGGGACGAGGAGAAGGAGGAGGAGTTGGAGGAGGTGGAGAAGGAGGAGGAGGAGGAGGAGGAAGAGCGGCGTCGTTGTCCGCAGGACCCGAGGGACTGCAACCCGATGTTCAAGCGGTTGCCCGCGGAGGCCTGCCGAGTAGAGCCTGAGTCCTCGCGAGATCTCTTTCTTCCTTGCCCTCTTCTCCCTTCCCTCCTCGCTACACTCGCTACACTTAGCTCCATCACTCCGTCCCCCATCTTCCCCTTCCATCCCTTCGTTTGTTGTTCCCAACCATCCTGTGGTGTTGGGTCCTCGTTTTGAAGAGACGTCGCCCCGCGTTCCTTCCTCCTCCTCCTCCTTCCTCCTCCTCCTCCTCTCCTCCCCCCTCCTCCCCCTCCCACACCCATTCTGGCACACCCCTCACACGTTTCGTGGCCCCATAGGGAGCTCCACCGAAGGCCCCAGTGGCTGCGCCCGCATGCGGTTCCACCCCCCATTCTGGCACACCCCTCACACGTTTCGTGGCCCCATAGGGAGCTCCACCGAAGGCCCCAGTGGCTGCGCCCGCATGCGGTTCCACCCCCCATTCTGGCACACCCCTCACACGTTTCGTGGCCCCATAGGGAGCTCCACCGAAGGCCCCAGTGGCTGCGCCCGCATGCGGTTCCACCCCCCATTCTGGCACACCCCTCACACGTTTCGTGGCCCCATAGGGAGCTCCACCGAAGGCCCCAGTGGCTGCGCCCGCATGCGGTTCCACCCCCCATTCTGGCACACCCCTCACACGTTTCGTGGCCCCATAGGGAGCTCCACCGAAGGCCCCAGTGGCTGCGCCCGCATGCGGTTCCACCCCCCATTCTGGCACACCCCTCACACGTTTCGTGGCCCCATAGGGAGCTCCACCGAAGGCCCCAGTGGCTGCGCCCGCATGCGGTTCCACCCCCCATTCTGGCACACCCCTCACACGCTTTCGTGGCCCCATAGGGAGCTCCACCGAAGGCCCCAGTGGCTGCGCCCGCATGCGGTTCCACCCCCCATTCTGGCACACCCCTCACACGTTTCGTGGCCCCATAGGGAGCTCCACCGAAGGCCCCAGTGGCTGCGCCCGCATGCGGTTCCACCCCCATTCTGGCGCATGCCCTTTCCACCCCCATTCTGGCACACCCCTCACACGTTTCGTGGCCCCATAGGGAGCTCCACCGAAGGCCCCAGTGGCTGCGCCCGCATGCGGTTCCACCCCCCATTCTGGCACACCCCTTTTCGTGGCCCCATAGGGAGCTCCACCCCCAGTGGCTGCGCCCGCATGCGGTTCCACCCCCATTCTGGCACACCCCTCACACGTTTCGTGGCCCCATAGGGAGCTCCACCGAAGGCCCCAGTGGCTGCGCCCGCATGCGGTTCCACCCCCCATTCTGGCACACCCCTCACACGTTTCGTGGCCCCATAGGGAGCTCCACCGAAGGCCCCAGTGGCTGCGCCCGCATGCGGTTCCACCCCCCATTTCGGCACACCCCTCACACGCTTCGTGGGTGGCTCCATGGGGAGCTCCACCGAACGCCCCAGTGGCTGCGCTCGCATGTGGTTCCCCCCCCATTTCGGCACACCCCTCACACGGTTCGTGGCCCCATAGAGAGCTCCACCGAAGGCCCCAGTGGCTGCGCTCGCATGCGGTTCCACCCCCTTTTTCGGCACGCCCTTCACACGTCTCGTGGCCCCATAGGGAGCTCCACCGAACGCCGCAGTGGCTGCGCTCGCATGCGGTTCCGCCCCCCATTTCGGCACACCCCTCACACGTTTCGTGGCTCCATAGGGAGCTCCACCGAAGGCCCCAGTGGCTGCGCTGGCATGCGGTTCCACACCCCATTCTGGCACACCCCTCGCACGTTTCGTGGCCCCATAGGGGGCTCCACCAAAGGTCCCAGTGGCACTGCCCGCTTGCGTCCGCCACCACCCAGCACAGCCCTTGTTCCCTGCGCTTCACCCACCCAGAACAGCGCTTCGTAGCCCTATAGGGAGCTCCACCAAAGGTCCCAGCGGCACCGCCCGCATGCGTCCGCCACCACCCTGCGCAGCCCTTGCTCCCTGCCTGCGTTTCACCCACCCAGTACAGCGTTTCGTGGCCCCATAGGGAGCTCCACCGAAGGTCCCAGTGGCACCGCTCGCATGCGTCCGCCACCACGCAGCACAGCCCTTGCTGACCGCGTCTCACCCACCCAGTACAGCGTTTCGTGGCCCCATAGGGAGCTCCACCGAAGGTCCCAGTGGCACCGCCCGCATGCGTCCGCCACCACCCAGCACAATTGCGGCATTCACAACTGCATATGGTTGGGTCCTTCGCCAGGCTATTTTTTTCGTGTGCATGCGCGCGCGCGTGTGTGTGTGTGTGTGTGTGAACGTGTGTGTGTGTGTGTGTGTGTGTGGGTGAATGTGTGTGTTTGTTTGTGTGTGTATGTGTGTGTTTCATCTTGCGCGTGACGGTCATTACCCAGCCGTTCCCCCTTCGGGTAATGGTAACGATCGTAGGTAGAACCCCCCAAGTGCCCGTGGCCCGTCCCGACGTGCCCCACGCCACCAAGTCGTTACCGTCAGCTGGCCCCCTCCCCGTTTACGATCGTGGCTGGATACGATGAACAGAAACGAGTTCGACGAGTTGCTCTCCATGGACGCCGCCGATTGTCGCCATAGGGGGAACGGATCCCGAGGGAAGCGGGTCCTGAGGTCTGCCGCCGTTTTCGTGCCCTCGTGGCCCTCCACTGGTCCCGGGAACGACCTGGACACGACTCGGGATGAAGAGCCTTGTTTTCCACCATCACAACCACCACCACCACCACCACCACCACCACCACCACCACCACCATCACCACCACCACCACCACCACCACCACCACCACCACCACCACCACCACCATGTGTAGGAGGGGGAGGGGGTCCTCCTCCTCCTCCTCCTCCTCCTCCTCCTCCTTCCCCCCTCCAACTCGTGGTGGTGGTGGTGGAAACCAGGCCCAGCAGCGAAGATCTCCTCCGGTGGCCAGGCCTCCCCCCAGGCCGGTCTTGGGCTCCCCGCCCAGAGGCGCCGGGCGGAGCGCCTGGGGCACGGCGGCACCGCACGGATTCTGACCCCCGCTCCGCCCTGGTCGCCCCTCCGCAGGGCCTCGGCCATCCCGCTCCTCAGCCTGACGGGTGCTGGTGGGCCCGTTGTCCACCACCACCGCCACCACAAGCTGGAGGGGGAGGGGGTCCTCCTCCTCCTCCTCCTCCTCCTCCTCCTCCTCCTCTCCTCCTCCTCCTCCTCCTCCTCTTTCTCCTCCTCCTCCTCCTCTTTCTCCTCCTCCTCCTCCTCCTCCTCCTCCTCCTCCTCCTCCTCCTCCTCCCCCTCTTTCTTCTCCTTCTCCTCCTCTTTCTCCTCCTGGCCCTCGTCTTCCTCCTCCTCGTCCTCCTCCATCCCCCCTCCTTATGGTGGTGGTGGTGGTGGTGGTGGTGGTGGTGGTGGTGGTGGTGGATAATAGGCCCATCAGGTGAATGTTTGGACGTCAGATTTGTCGCGAGTGCACATCGTTTGCCCTCCTCTGCCCCATTCCCCGTGGACTTCGGCTCGGACCACTGCTCTAGGCTTACAATAACACGGCCACGAGGGAGTCGCCTGGGCCGAGTGCGGCCCGAAACGATGGCCAGGACGAACCCCGAGGGCCACGCAACAAGACACTGAGGGCAACTAGTGGGCGCTAGCGCCCGCGCTTGTGGGGCAACATTTGCTCCTCGCAGTGGCCACCCAAGCTTTTGCGCAGTTGGAGGAGGAGGAGGCGGCGGCGGCGGAGGCGGAGGAGGCGGAGGAGGAGGAGGAGGAGGAGGAGGACGAGGAGGAGGGAGGAGGGGAGGAGGAGGAGGAGGAGGAGGAGGAGGAGGAGGAGGAGGAGGAGGAGGAGGAGGGGGAGAAGGAAGAGGAGGCGGGGGGGGTTGTCCCCAGCGCCGACGCCCGCCTCGGAGGTGACCGCGAGGCGGAGGCCGGCGGAGAGGCTGCACACCGGGCCGACGGAGGCCGCCGCGGCGGGCAATTCTCGGGAGTCCGCTCGCCGGCTGGGAGGTCCGTCCGATCTGCGTGTCTTTTGGGAGGCGCCACCCTGCGCCTCATAACCCAGAGATCCGACGCTCTAAAAAAAGTGGAGCGGCGGGTTTTTGACCGTTTTCGACCTCCCAGGGCCCTCGCTGGGCCTCGGGAGCGTCCACAAAACCGATTCAGGACGAGAAACCGCCCCACGGAAGTCGTCCAGAATTCAGGGGGCCAGCGCATCGAAACAATTGGAGCAGCCAGGTGTTTGGGTCGTTTGGGAGGCGCCAGGAGCAGGTAGATGAGGAGGGGGAGAAGGAGGAGGAGGCGGAGGAGGAGGTGGAGGAGGAGGAGGAGGAGGAGGAGGAGGAGGAGGAGGAGGAGAGGGAGAGGTGGAGGTGGAGGAGGGGAGGAGGAGGACCAGCCGGCGACTCTTGGAGCGGTGGGGTATAGTTTGATGAGTCCACCTATGGCCGATCGATTGGATATCTCTCATGCCGTTAGGAACAGAAACAGGAACAGGAGGAGGAGGAGAGGGGAGGGGGAGGGGGAGGGGGAGGGGGAGGGGGAGGGGAGGGGGAGGAGGAGGAGGAGGAGGAGGAGGAGGAGGAGGAGGAGGAGGAGGAGGAGGAGGAGGTGGAGAATGCCGCTGTGCGCTGGTCTGTGCCCCAGCGGACTTTTCTTCCCGTCCCCCGTTCTTCGCCCTTATGTTTCCCATCGTTCACGCCTTGGTTCTACATCTTTGAGGCTGATCGAGCACTGTACTCTGAATTTTTTCTCGGATCGCGGAGGAGGGGGAGAAGAAACTCGGAGCGTCTCAGGGGTGAGATGGCTTAAGCGTGGGGGGATTTCAAGTGTGATGGGCGGCTCGCGCCAGGAACCGCTTCGCAGCTCTCTGCGGCGCGGGCGAGGAGGAGAAGGAGGAGGAGGAGGAGGAGGGATAAGCAGGAGGAGGCGGGGTGGGAACGCTTGAAACGTGTGCTATACGACCTCGTAGCTTCCGAACCGAAGAAGGGGAACGGCATAAACAAAGGCATTGGGCGCCCAGCGCCGTTCCAAGAACTTCGCGCAGGCTTCCGACAGTTAATGTTTATGCCGTTTGTCCTTCATCCAGTAACCTACCAGAGCGCGGCACAAGCAGCACAGCTTTAGCCCGAGGTGAGCCCGATGTTGGGAGCATAATGTCGCAGGCGACTTGTCTCCCCCAAGCCCCGATTTCCGCCCGAAAAGTTGGGCCGCTCAGAAGAGGGGGAACTGCAGGGACACCCCAAGTGGATGGACGCCCAATTTCGAGGATGGACGCCCCTGTCGAGGCTGGACCCCCCCCTCGTATGCCCAAGGGCTGGGCCCAAAACTTTCGGGTCCGTTCGACAACCCCACGAAGCCTAAGTTGGGCATGTCCCAAAGAGGAAAAAACAGTCGGGGGACAATGTGTTGGGTATGTTTTCAGTTTTCTGGTATTTTTGGATGTTCTGTTTGCCCAAATCTCCCTATAGGAGGACAGGCCCGACCTAAACGAAGACCCTGGTTCGGTTTCTTGTGTTCTCCGTTTCTCGGCCCCTGGATTGTGGTATTATTTTCTATGACCCTGGTTCGTTTTCTCGTTCTCTCATTTTCTAGGCCCCTGGGTCGTGGTCTCATTTCCTCGGACGCTGGTTTGTTTTCTCGTTTTTTCGTTTTCTCGGACCCTGGGTCGTAGTCTCGTTTTCTCGGACCCTGGTTCGTTTCACATTGTCTGATTTTCTCGGCCCATGGGTCGTGGTCTCGGTTTCTCGGGCCCCAGCTCGTTTTCTCGTTTTCTCGGCCCCTGGGTTTTGTCTCGTTTTCTCGGGCGCCGATTCGTTGTTTTCTTTTCTCGTTTTCTCGGCCCCTGGGCCGTGGTCTCGTTTTCTCTGACCCTGATTCGTTTTCTTGCTTTCTTGTTTTATCGTCCTCTGGGTCGTGGTCTCGCTTTCTCGGGCCCTGGTTCGTTTTCTCGTTGTCTCGTCCTCTCGGCCCCTGGTTCGTGGTTTCGTTTTCTCGGGCATTGGTTTGTTTTCTCGTTGTCTCGTTTTGTCGGCCCCTGGGTAGTGGTCTCGTTTTCTCTCGGAGTATTGTTCGTTTTCGCGTTTTCTCTGCCCCTGGGTCGTGGCCTTGTTTTCTCGGACCCGAAGATTATGGTGGGCTGCCTCCCCCCTGGGGTGGTCCAGTGCGCCCGCACGGACAGTTGGGCAACGCACGCGGTGCGGCCGGCCAGGGGCGCTCGAGAGACCCATCCGAGACCTCGAGACCCCGCCAGCCGACGCACCAGATCCACCAGGGAGGGAGGGCGGGGAAGCTGGCGACGCCAGCCAAGAGCCCTTGGCCAGCAGACGAAGCACCGTACGCCAAGCGCCCTCCTGGGGCACCCTCGTCGTTTCGCAGACGCCAACTCCGAGCACCACGAGGTGTGCTTGGGCCCCCAGGGGATCCCCACGGGCCCACACGGGAGCCAGCGACACGGCGCCCCCCTTGCCAGGCCCTCGGGCCGCCAGGGAAGGCACAACACAACTACCCCCTCGGGAGCGAAAGCCGACACTTGATACCCCGCCTCGGACTGGGGCGGAAAACAATGCAGCCAGTAGCGACGAATCCCCGAATCCAGCCATGGCGACAAGGATGCAGCCTGCCCAGAATCTTCTTCCACAGGAGCCACGCTCAGGGACGACTGGTAAGTTTTTTCGGACTCTGGTTTGTTTTCTCGTTTTCTCGTTTTCTCGGCCCCTGGGCCGTGGTCTCGTTTTCTCGGACCCTGCTTCGTTTCCTCGTTTTCTCAGCCCCCGTCGTGGTCTTTTCTCTCTGACCCTGGGTTGTCGTCGTCGTCGGTCGTCGGTCGTGCGTCGTCCGTCGTCCGTCGCCGTCTTCGTATGACCTTGTCCTCGTCGTTACGACCACGACGAGGTCATACGAAAACGGCAACAATGACGGCGACGGCGGCGGCGACGACGACGAGGACGACGACGGCGTCGTACGAAGACGTCGAGTGACGGCGACGGCAACGACGACGGCGACGGGGGAGGATCGTCCGGCAGGGAAAGGAGTTCAAGGGGCCGCCCCTCCCCTTTTGGAAAGGGGGGGAGGGGAGGGGAGCCTCCGGCAGGGTGGAGAGAAATGGAGGGAAGGGAGGGGTGGGGCTTCCGGCAGAGGGGGGTCAGAGGAGGGGGGGGTAGCTAAGCTCCCCTCCCCCTTCGTAAAGGGGGGGAGGGGGGGGGCAGCTTCCCGGGTGCCGAAAGGGGGGGGAGGGGGAGGGCTGCTAAGCCCCCACTCCCTTTGGAACCAAAGGGAGGGATAGCTTCCGGCAGAGGGAGCTTCCGGCAGAGGTAGGTCAAGGGGAAGGGGGGGGGTAGCTTAGTCCCCCCTCCCTTTGGAAAGGGGGGGAGCGGGGTGGTAGCTTCGGAGTGGCGAAAGGGGGGGAGGGGGGGGGGAGCTTCAGGGGAGAGGCGAACAAGGGGGAGAGGGGGTGGAGCCTCCAGCAGGGGAGGTGGAAGGGAGGGGGTGTAGCTAAGAGGGGACCCCCCGCCTTCTCTCAGGCGCTGTGGGCGCGCTCTCTCCAAGCTATCGGACCATGTGTTCCCGTAGCCGTTGTGGAAACCCTTCGGGCAACACGTGGGGGAGGATGGCGGGGAAGATCAGGAGGAGGCGGAGGATGAGGTGAAGGAGGAGGAGGAGGAGGTGGAGGAGAAGGAGGAGGAGGAGAAGAAGGAGGAGAAAGAGGAGGAAGAGGGGGCATCTTCGGAGCCTCTGGGGACACTCTTGGAGCCTCCTGGGAGCTTCCTGGGAGCCTCTTGGAGGTATCTTGGGGGCCCTCTTCGAGGCCTCTTGGAGGCCTTTTGGGGGCCTTCGGGGGCTTCTCGGGGGCCTCTTTGGCCATCTTTTTGGCTCCTAGCCCGTCTGACGCCGTCGGAAACCGTCTTGGGGGCCACTCTGGAACGACTTGGGGCCCTCTTGGGGTGCTCCAGGCCGTCTTGGAAGTCATCTTGGGCGTCTTGGAGGCCTCTTGGGCCGTCTTGGGGCCCTCTTGGGCCCGTCTAGGCCTCTTGGGCTGCTCTGGGGCCATCTTGGAGGCCTCTTGGGCGATATTTGGGCGATCTTTGGGGGCTCTGGGGCTGTCTCGGGCCGTCGGAAGGCCGAAAAGAAGCAAATGCCGAAATCCTTCAAAAACTAAGGAACATCCATGAGTTTGGCATCTTCGGGCCTTCTTGGGGGCCCTCTTGGAGGCCTCTTGGGGGCCTTCGGGGGCTTCTCGGGGGCCTCTTTGGCCATCTTGGTGGGCTCCTAGCCCGTCTGACGCCGTCGGAAACCGTCTTGGGGGCCACTCTGGAACGACTTGGGGCCTTCTTGGGGTGCCCCAGGCCGTCTAGGAGGCAATGTTGGGTGTCTTGGAGGCCTCTTGAGCCGTCCTGGGGCCCTCTTGGGCCCGTCTAGGCCTCTTGGGCTGCTCTGGGGCCATCCTGGAGGCCTTTTTCTGGGGCCATTCTTGAGGCACTCTTTGGGCGATCTTTGGGGGCTCTTGGGCCGTCTCGGGCCGTCGGAAGGCCGAAAAGAAGCAAATGCCACAATACGTCAAAACCTAAGGAAATTCCATGATTTTGGCATCGGGCCTTCCTGGGGGCTCTTGGAGGCTTCTTGGGCCGTCTCGGGCCACCTTAGGGCCATCTTCAGCCGTCTTGGTGTGCTCCTGTTCTGTCTGACGCCGTCGGAAACCGTCTTGGGGGCCACTCTGGGCCGACTTGGGGCCCTCATGGGGTGCTCTAGAGCCGTCTTGGAAACTGTCTCGGGCGTCTTGGAGGCCTCTTGGGCCGCCGTTGGGACGTCTTGGGGGCCTCTTGGGCCGTCGTTGGGCCCTCTTGGGGCCGTTTTGGGTGCCTCTTGGGCCGTTTTGTGGTCATATTGGAGGCCGCTTGAGCGATCTTTAGGGGCTCTTGGGCCGTCTCGGGCCGTCGCAAGGCCGAAAAGAAGCAACTGCCAACATCCTTCACAACCCAATGCAATTCCATGAATTTGGCTTCTTCGGGCCTTCCTGGGGGCTCTCTTGGAGGCCTCTTAGGCCATCTCAGGGCCATCTTCGGCCGTCTTGGTGGGCTCCTGGCCCGTCTGACGCCGTCGGAAGCCGTCTTGGGGGCCTCTCTGGGCCGACTTGGGGCCTTTTTGGGGTGCTCCAGGGCCGTCTTGGAAACTGTCTTGGGCGTCTTGGAGGCCTCTTGGGCCGTCTTTGGGCTCTCTTGGGGCCGTCTTGGGGGCCTCGATCTTGTAGGCTGCATTGGGCCTCCTGGGGCCATATTGGAGCCATCCAGTGCCTTCTTGAACGCTCTAGTGGGTGGCGTCCCCCAATCCTGAAGTCCTCCGCAAAAGGAAGAGAGAGGCTCTCTGTATCCTCAATGACCCACGTTCAGGGGGCTGATGGGATGTGCACAAAATGTGCTGTTTGCCCTCAAAGCTCCTTAGCTTCTCCCTCCCCCTTTCGCAGGCCTAGAGGTTGACAACAACACCAATACCCGCGGTGTTCCTCCAGCGTAGGAAGAGGATCCCGATCTTGGTGATGGTGGTGATATTCTGGCCTCCAGGGTGACCGACTGATTACCACCAGCACTGAGATCTAGGATCGTCTTCCCCCTGTGGAGGCAACCCCAGGTCTGGGCCTAAACGCTGCTTTGCTGGATTTCGGCGATGCTTTGTTTTTCGTTTCGGGAGGGAGGTCGAGGAAAAACGGGGAGGCGCGGGAACGAACAGTAGGGCAAAACGAACAACACATCGAACACAACACGAAACCAAAACGAACAACGAAACGAACAGCACGAAAAGCAGAGCATAACGAACAAGAAAACCAACACAGCACGAGACACAACGTCTAGGTCCAGCCCTGGGCAGCCCCCTGCGCTGGTGTTGGTGCCCGTTTCCCGGCCTCCGACCCGTCTCCCCTCCCCGTCCTGCTTCCTCGCCCTGCCTGCCTGCCAGTCGGGCCCGTCCCTCTGCATGGGGGATGTTCTCAAGAATAGTAAACCAATGGTCAGGGGACCTGTTTCTGAGTACTTGTGAGCATTTTGGGAGTATTTTTCGGGTATTCCCTCCTCCTCCTCCTCCTCCTCCTCCTCCTCCTCCTCCTCCTCCTCCTCCTCCCTGTTGCCGCTGCTCCCTCTGCTGCCAACTCTGCTCCGCACCGTCCTCCCTCACAGCGGGCACGCGCGGACAGGCGCTGCTGCTCGACGGAGCCCGAGGGGCGCCTCCCTCGTCGACTCCCCGAGGGGCCGTCTTCGGGCCCGTCGCGGGGCTCGGAGCCTGCCGCGGGGCGCCCGCTCGCGGGCCGGCTCCCGGCGCCCCTCGTGCCCGCGGGGGGCCTCCGGCGCCGACCGCCGTGCAGCTCGCCGCCCCCCGCGGAGGCCGCGGATGCCACCGTCGACCTGGAGCAGGTCGTCCAGCGCAAGCCCGAGGGCCGCGCCAAGTGGCTGGCGAAGGCGCGGCCGCCCTCCCGCCCTCGCCCTCCCGCCCTCGCTGCCCCCTCCGGCCCCCCCTTCTCGCCGCTCCGCGCCCCTCCTCCTCTGGCCCTCGCTCCTCCCTCCTCGCCCTCCCCTCCCCTCCTCCGCCCCCCCCCCCGCCCTCCTCGCCCTCCCTCCTCTCCCTCCTCGCCTTCCTCGTCCTCCCTCCTCGCCCTCCTCGCCCCCATCTCTTCTCTTCTCGCCCTCGTCTCCTCTGCGAGCTAAGGCCGACGACTGCTCGAGGGCATGGATGAGGAGGAGGAGGAGGAGAAGGAGGAGGAGGAGGAAGAGGAGGATGAAGAGGAAGAGGAGGAGGAGGATGAGGAGGTGGGGAGGAGTAGGAAGAAGTGGAGGGGGAGGAAGAGTAGGAGGAGGATGAGGGTGAGGATGAGTCTAATGATGTTGATGATCGTGATGATGCTGCTGATGATGCTGCTGATGATGCTGCTGCTGCTGATGATGATGCCGAGGGCGATGCCGATGCCGACGACGATGCTGATGATGCTGCTGATGATGCTGCTGCTGATTAAGATGCTGATGCTGATGCTGATGCTGATGATCATTGATGATGATGATGCTGCTGATGATGATGATGATGATGAACATTCTGCTGATGATGCTTATGATGATACTGATAATGATGGTAGCGATGAGGATGATGATGCTGCTGATGATGTTGATGATGCTGATGGATGCTGATGCTGATGCTGATGCTGATGCTGCTGCTGCTGATGATGTTGATGATGCTGATGATGCTGATGGTGATGATGATGATGATGATGATGATGATGATGGTGATGGTGATGGTGATGGTGATGGTGATGGTGATGATGGTGATGATGGTGATGGTGATGATGATGATGATGATGATGATGATGATGATGATGATGATGATGATGATGATGATGATGATGATGAGGAGGAGGAGGATGATGATGATGATGATGATGATGATGATGATGATGATGATGTGGTGGTGGTGGTGGTGGTGGTGATGATGACGAGGAGGCGGAGGAGGAGGAGGAGGAGAAGGAGGACGGGCATGGGGAGAAGAGGAGTCATGAGATCGGGCCTTCATTTTACTGCCCCGTCGCCACCGTGCTCATTCTTTCGGTGCTTGTCGTCTTCCACTAAATGTTTTCGGTGCTCCTCCTCATGCTCGTCGCCCTCTTCGTCCCAACCTCGCCCTCTGCCCCCGCTTCCTTCCATCCTCCCTGCCTTTTCTGTCCCCTGCGTCCTGCCCAACCTTCGCCTTCGCTTGCTCATCCTCCTCGCCGCCTCTCCCCTTTCCCCTCTCAAGCTCACCCGTTCGAGCTGCGATGGATACTCGAATCATCATGCGTGCCTTATCCTAGTCCGGCCACGCGCTGCTGGTTGAGTCCGTTTGCCGTTCCAGTCCCTCCATCACACTGCTTTCCTTTTTTTGGCCACCGTCGTGTCCTCTGTCGCCGCACCGCCAGGCGCTAGCTCAAGCAGAGGATGCTCCCGACCGCCTTCCTCGGCTCCCTTCGCTGCTTGGTGGCCGGAGTTGGCGGTGATGATGGGCCTGTTTTCCACCACCACCACCACCACCATAGGTTGGAGGGGGAGGGGGTCCTCCTCCTCCTCCTCCTCCTCCTCCTCCTCCTCCTCCTCTTCGTCGTCGTCGTCGTCCTCCTCCTCCTCCTCGCCCTCCTCCTCCTCCTCCTTCTCCTCCTCTTCGTCGTCGTCCTCCTCCTCCTCGGCCTCCTCCTCCTCCCCCCCATCCAACTTGTGGTGGTGGTGGTGGTGGAAGGCAAGCCCATCAGGTGAGGCGGTCGTGGCGTCGCCGAGCCTGCTGCGTCGTCCGGGCCTGTGGCCGTCGCGGCTGCGCGCTCACGCATCGGGGCACTTGGCTCGGGCCTCCGCCTGCCTTGGCGGAGTCCCTCCCCCTGCCCCCCGTCCTCCTCCTCCCTCCTCCTCCTCCTCCTCCTCCTCCTCCTTCTCCTCCTCCTCTTCCTCCTCTTACCCCAAGGTGGTCTAGGGGAGGTTCTACAGGGCTCGTAAGACGAATCTCGGGGGCATCAACGAAGCTGCTGTGCTGCCTCTGGGCCTCCCAGGTGGGGCCCGCGCCGCATCGGCGGAGGACCGCGCCGCAGCGGCGATGCATCGACGATGCGGCTCGATGTGGAGCCCGTGTTTCTCCGCGCCGATGGCGCCGATCCATCGCCGATGTCGGCGATGCATCGCGGGTGCATCGCCGATGCATCGCCGATGCATCGCCGACGCATCGGCGATGCGGTGCGATCCTCCGACCCCATCTGCTCCGACCCCAGCCAGGAGGCCTCTACTGCCGCTGTCTTACGGTCCTCCCGCTCCGAGGCTTCACGTGGCCTGCCGGAGCCCCTCGTGCGAGGAGCGGGCTGTGCCATTCGCTGCGCGTCTCCTTCTAGGTGACCGGAGGCGAGCATCTTCCTCATCCTCCTTTTCTTGTCGGGCGAAGAGAACTATGCACATGCACCGATCTTGGCTTGGCCCATGCTGGGCCCAGCATCGGTGCATGTGCCCTCCTGGCCAAGGCAGGATGGCGTATGCACCGATCCTGGGCTCAGGGTGGGCCTGGCCAGAATCGGTGTATGTGCATAGTTATTTTTCCTCTATCTTGCCTTTCCTGAGCCGGATTCTTCTCCTCTTGCGCCTCCTGAGCCGGATCATCCATGTAGACAAATGTCGGGGATAGCCAGGACCCCAGGTAAGGGGACCCGGTTCGTGGTAACGCCCCGGAGCCCCGAAATTTGCAAGAATCACTAAACCAGGTTTGCCGTAGTTTGTGTTTTTTTCCGGGTGACGGCAGTTCTGGTCAGTGGAACGGGGCGGGAGGGGCGTCCAGTTCTGCCAACGCCCGAATAGGGGCGACGGAGACAGGTGGTGTCGACTGCGCCGACACTCGTGCGCAAGCTGCCCGCGGAAGGTGGCGCGGGAGTGCCCTCGCCTCCAGTGCAGCCTGCGGCGCTGGCGGCCCGTGTAAGCCGCGGTGCGAGGTGGCTGCGCCATTTCGCGTGATAAGACCCGTTTCTGATCTCCGCCCTTCGCTCGAGTGGTCTAAGCGTTGACGAAAGCCCGAGCGGATTTATCGGATCGGGGCCGAGGACCCCCGCAGCTCTGGCGCGCGAAGCGCGCCGGAGTGGCGCGGTCCAGCGCCGGCCCGAGAGATCCGCACGGACCTCGGACAGTTCATGCTCATGTTGGTTTTTGGGAGAGGAAGATGGTGGGCCTGTGTTCCACCACCACCACCACCACCATGAATTGGGAGGGGGACTGAGGTGGAGGAGGAGGGGGAAGAGGAAGAGCCCCTCCGCCTCCAACTTAACCGCTAACCCTCGAGAATAAACACTAGGGGATGATAAAGTTCGGGGTTCAGGGGGGGATAATCAAAGTAGCCCACCAGACCTCAGCATAATCTCGAAGTAAGAGATGATCAAGAGGAGACCAAGCCGAGCACGTTTTGAGACATCCTTGGCGTTTAGTCTTCATAGAAATATCCTCAACAATGGCTTATCTCGCTGGAGACATCCTCGACAAATCCCTTGTTTCGCTTGAGACATCCACAAACTATTGCTTATTTCGCTTGAGGCACCGTCAAACTATTGCTTATTTCGCTTAAGAAGCGTATCGTTTCGCTTGAGGCATCCTTCAGTATATGCTTCATCCTCGAGTATATGCTTGTTTCGCTTGAGACATCCTCGGAATAGCTCATCCGCCTCGGTGTCCCTGGATAACCAACCGCGGCGATAATAAAGTTCAGGCGGGCGGAGGAATGGAGAAAGCAATATACAAAAACAAAAATAAAAAGAAACAATAAGAAATGAAACAGAAAAAAATAACAAATCAAAAAGAAAAGAAAACAGAGGAGGAGGAGAAAGAGAATGAAAAATCTCAAGTTCAAATGTATTAGATTTTATTTACAAGCGCTCTATGAACATTAACATTTTTAAGTGCTCGTGTAGGGTAGTTCATGTGCTTCGTTTTCCATGGATAATCAACCCCAGGGATAAAACAGTTCAGAGGGGGGGGGGCAAGGAGAGAGAGAGAGAGAGAGAAAGAGAGAGAGAGAGAGAGAAAAAAAAAGAGAGATACATCATAAAGAAAAAGAAAGGAAAGACTTAAAGAGAGAAGACATATTTAAAAAAGAAAAGTATAATAATACATGAAAAGGATAAAGAGAAAAGGAAAGGAGGATAAAACAAACAATCCGAATATTCCCATCTATCAAATTTTATTTACAAGCGCTTTATGCAAATTAATTTTTTTAAGTGCTCGGTAGCTCATGTGCCTCACTTTCCGTGGATAATCAACCCCAGGGATAAACAAGTTCAGGGGCACATGGGGAGATATAGAGAGAGAAAGAAATAGAGAGTCAGACAGAAACAAAAACTAAGAGAAACATATAGAAATATTAAGAACAGTAGAGAAAGAAGATAAACATGAAAAATGAAAATAAAAGGAATACTAACAAATGAAGAGGAGAAGTTGAAGAGGAGAGGAGAACGATTGCTTAGTTATTTTGCTGGAGACATCCTCAACATAACATCCCCAATAGTATTTTAACATAACTGGATCTTGCTATCTCAACATAACGTTCCGAGGTGATAATGAAGTTCGGCCTTAACGCTTGCCGCCCAATTTGAATTTTATATAGGGAGACGATAATAAACTCGAATGACTTAAGGGGGGGGGAACTTGATTATCATCGGCATGTGGTTATGGTGGTGGTGGTGGAAAACAGGCGCATCAGAAGAGATACCGATACCGCTATCCTTCCCATGGCCCATGAGAGACCCTCGTCGCCACCGCGGGATTCGCCCCTGAATCCTGGCCAGAGCGCACCCCGGGAGAGGTCAGGGGAGCGGCGCTGTCAGTACTTTTGGACTTCCCCAGGCTCGTCTTTCTCAGATCGGCGGCGAACCCCGGGGGGAAGTGAGAAGGGGCGGGCATTCTCAGAAGGCTCATAAGTCCCCCGGACTTCTGA